ATAAAGCAAATTATTATTATTAGAATATATCTGAAAAATAACAGCTTGAGATGTGGGTATTCCTGATAGCCTCAAGAACTCGGTGAAGTTATACAGTCGTCAATATTTAAAGGTATTATTATTATATCCTTTAATTCCTAGAGGAACATAGGGCTACAGCTGCGCATCTCCATTGCCTTCTGTTTTCTGCCAACTTTTTCACCTCGCTCCAATTCTGCCCACATGCTTTCATCTCCTCCTCACATGACCGCCTCCAAGTCACCCTTGCATTGACGACCAACTCGCCGCTTCCTTTTCACGTTCCACTCGAGCAATGGCTTGTCTAGTGATGTCACTTGATGGTTTCCTTAGAGTATGGCCAATCCACCTCCATTTCTTCCTGCCTACTTGTTTCACAATCGGTTCCTGATTGGTTCGCTCATTGCCAGAGATCCCTGTTGCTGATCTTTTCTGGTCAGCCATCTAATCTTGAGTTGTATTGAGCGAAGACAACTGTTAATGAAGGTCTGAAGTTTGTTTGAGATGCTCTTTATGACGCGCTGGCCAAGTCTCTGATCCGTATAGTAGCAATGACTTCACATTGGAGTTGGGAATCCGGATGTTATTTTTGATGCTGAGTGCTGTTGACCTCCACACAGACTTGAGAGTAATGAAAGCTTGTCTTGCTTTTCCGATTCTGGTTTTGATATCCTCGTCGGTTCTGTTCGCTTGTAGTTGAAACGATGCTTCCCAGGTAGGTAAAGGAATATTTAAAGGTAAAACACTTAATTTCACTTGTGTTGTGACCTATTACTTGCTGATAGCTGAGACAGGGTTCGACACAACGTATGATCACCCGAACACAGCTGAGAATATTTCAGTCTATTGAAAATCGAAATGTCACTAATGAGAACAATTATTACTTTACTCTGATGTTGAAACATCCAGACAGACAACGCAAATTCCAGGAGGAGATAATTAATCTAATCTACTAGACGAAAGACTAGAAGGTCGAGAATTTAACGAAAACTGTTATTCTTATTTACAAATGCTAACACACGTGTTGATAACGTTTCTGAGTTTGCAACGACAGTTAACAGATATCCAGGTGTGTATCAAATTGTTTATTCTCACTTAAGATAAGGCACACTGAATTCCACAGCTAGGTATAAATAAGTGAAAGTTTGCCTGCTCACACTGCCTCTACCTTAATTTTAGCCTACAACAATCTCGTTATCCACTGACTTGAAAACTTCTCAGCTGAACGGCAATCAGCATTTTTAAGTGGGACTGAATCAGCTGAAATTTGAGTGTTGTTGTAAACACAAACAGTGATTTTTTGTTGTTGTTGCCCAAAATAAGAATTTTTACAGATATTATCATTGTGAGTAGACCTACATTACGAGACTGATCAGATTAGTCTGTTTTGCCAAGGCACAAACTCTTCATTTACATAAACAATAATAATAGTCATGAATTATAACACAATAGTGAATTTTGTGTAAAGTTCGACTGCACTATAACAACTTCTCCATCAACTTGGTATATTTCATACTACAAAAGACGATTTAGATTAAGAAAATTTACTTCAATAGTATTAAAGTGCGTATTATTTATTTACTTAAACGCAGAAAAAACTTGGTACAATATGGCACCAAGAAGGATGCGCCACACAATAATAAAACAACATACAAAAAATCTAAGTAGAGAACGGATAAAGAATTTCATCTGGAAGGAAAACAGTCATGCTTAACAAGTTCAAACAGTATTCGTTAACTATCATCGGGAAGGGAAGAAAGAAGGAAATTGCAACACGTTCGCCATTGATTACGATTCTTCGCCATATCCCATAACTTTTCGAGCTATCTCTCGGACCCCAACCAGGGAGTCGTGACACACCAACTGATGCTAATCTAGCACAAAAATCCTTCGTCCCACGAAGCCACGTCATGCACTCACCACCTCTCCGCCTTTTCCATCCCGTCCCAGGCCTAGCGAACAGAGATCTGTACTGAAGCCTCTGGGATGGCATTCGCATCACATGTCCAAGCCACTGGAGCCGGTGTTTCCAGATGACAATACTCAATGAATGGTGATCTCCACTGTGTTTAAACACACGCCGCCGAACTTCAGAATTATTCACGCGATGATGCCGTCAGGCACAAGCAATCCTGTGGAGACAGCGATGATCGAACACGCATCCTTAGCCTACTCGGAGAGGCCAGGTTTCACAGGCGTAGAGCAAGAGAGCCCGCATCGAAGCATTGTATACCCGACCTTTGACAGCCAGGCTAACGTCGTGACGGCGCTAGAGGTGGATAAAGTTGATGTATGCTACCCTAGCCTTCATTATACGGTTGGAAATCTCACTCGTCAGCCCTCCACCAGCACTCACACAACTAGCCAGATACACAAACTTATCAACAACTTCAAGCGGTTCACCCGCAACAGTGAGTGCAGGTACAGGCTCCTGACAATCTCGTAACAGTACTTTGCACTTAGACGGCCCAAAGCACATACCATACTTACAAACACTGATCGCCAACTGATTAAGTGCGATTTGGGCAGCCTGCATGTATTGCACGGTAAGACGATATCGTCTACATAATCGAGGTCGAAAAGTCTATCTCCAGGTAGCAGATCTACACCACCTCCAAGCACATCCTTCAGAACTGACTCCAGAATGTCATCGATGGCAAAGTTAAAGAGAAATGGGGAGATCCGGGAACCCTGTCTAACCCCACTGTTGGTTGGGAACAGTGTTGATAGTTGGTTGTACGCTCTCACTCTACCCGAGGTGTTTCTGTATAGAGCTTTCAAGATGTTAACAAATTTCTCAGGTACACCTCTCTCTAACAGACAGTTCCAGAGCACAGTTCTGTCCAACGAATCGAAGGCAGCCCTAATATCAAGAAACACAACGATCGTTGGCCTGCAATACGTGTGGCGGTGTTTCAACAACTGACTAAGGGTGAACACATGATCAATGCATCCACGACCTGAACGAAACCCAGCCTGCTCTTCGCGAATCAATCCCTCACGTATTTTGCACAGCCTACGAAGCAAGACAGAAGCCAATATTTTTGACGCGACTGGTAGCAGACTGATACCCCTATAAAGTGAGTACAGTTACATCCATCCACACTTCAAAAGATTCTTGAGATAGAGATAATGAGGCTGCAGTTTAGAAGTTAAATGAGTCAATCTAATAACAGTATTCAGAAGAAGTCAGAGAAAATATGCAATTTTTTGAGATGAATTTCAAAAAGTGTAAACAGGTAGAGTTAGTTGCAGAAAGAAGCTCAGGCATTTTCAACAAGCTATGCAATGAATAGTCACTTAAACATAAACACAGCAAATAAGAAAAATTATACGAAGTAGTCTCAAAAATCACATACAAAATAAACGTTCGTTTTCCGAAACTGCAAGTAAACAATGAAAAAAGCGCATTGTATTCACTACAAAAACTTAATATATTCTATTCACTGATAAAACATTCACATGAGAATAACGGAAGGAAGAAATTAATTTTACCCAGTACAATACTGTAAGTAGATTTCAGGTGACAGCAGATATAAAGGAAGAATAATCTAAAGGAAAAATTAGAGAAGATTTTTATTGTTTATTTTCGCTTACCATGCTCTTACTATTCAATCTTAACAATTTAGGAGACTCAGTAATAACTTTTTAAAAGTCTTTAAAAGGTATCTTACAGATGCCATGATACTCATAGGTCTAGTGCATTTTAGCATGTAATGAACTGTGTGTGATTGAAGCACAAGTTTGCAACCAACACACTGAGATGTTATATCATCTAGTCATATCGGTTTTACATGATATAACTTGGAAGATATGAATACTTGACAAAACGACTAAAACCACTAATACTCAGTGTCTAGGTAATAGTGATGGCACATGAATCCAAAAGGTTTTTTGTAGCGTAGCTTACCATTTTTTTTATCAGGGGTGGAGTATTTTTAATTAATAGAAATTATTGATGTAGATGGATCTGAGGAAAGTGATTCTGCTGATTTGACTTCATAGCCTAAAGAAATTACCAGTATTGTAACTAAGACATCGCATTCCTGTTTCCTATCTTTCTCAAAATTGTCACATTCAAATGAAATATTATTTTCTAGTTGTGAGTTACGGACAGGTCAGTCGGACTACAGTAAAAGCAGACTTAATGAAGTGACTTTCGAATATGAAATTATCATGATTTTATTATATGGTGTTCTTTAGATAAGTAGCGAGTATTGTAAAATCGTTACAATTTTCACCGACGATCGTACAATAACTTTTGCTTATTGTAAGAAGTGAAGTAGTTGAATGTATTCTGATACCTTAGTTATAACGGATCAGCAGGTATAGTGAAATCAAGTCCAACTGTAGGTCACCAGCTTTAAATGAGAAGCCAGAGGAAAAATATAAATGCGCAGCAGTGTGTGTCTCTTCAAATTAATGAAATGAATTGGAGCCAATATCTAGATGATTTCAGAGTGAAGTGCAAGTTAACGAAAGCGTATCATTTAGTGGAATTGATTGCTGTATGTAGCTAGAATGTGAAGTGACTGACTGACTTCACGCTACGAAATGAAATTCTAAGCTTAAAATAGTCGAAACAAGATGTAAAAAAAACTACAAGGTTATCGATACAAGTCTAGGGGATTGCAAGTCGTCTAGTCCGAAACATTCATAAGGTGAACGCATACAAACCTACGGTGATAAGAAGTAAAACAGAACACTGGGTCATCTTCCCCTTTAACATAAATTCTTGCATTCAAATATTCAGTTTTTCTACTTATGCTATTTCTGGGCTGTTGAAAAATGTGGCAAATTGAATGGATGTAGACTTGAGTAAGGACCATGTCTTATCTTAATTAAGGGATCCCACTATCCAGTTCTACTTTGTCGATATGGAAGGAATATTGGAATTTTCCCCTTTTGTTCCACTACCATATATAATGACAAGAGAATGTCTTATTGTAATCATTGACACGATAATAATTAATATAAAAAAATGTATTAATAAGCATTTATTGACCATCCTGAATCGATTTGACTCAAGAAAATTTACAAGTCAAAATGTGTGGTATGATACAGCGTAATGACATTCTTGATAAAAAAAGTTACAGTTTGCACAAAATATTCATAAAACTATTCTATAAGTAATATATCGTCCAGCTGTTTCTGATGGTCGTGTGATGCGTACAACTTGACCTCTTCTCAGACCATAATATCGGGCAACAGGATCGCTTGCCTGCATTTTTGGAAGCTGACTTTCTTTTAACCGACTAAAAACCAAGTTCATATTAAACTATAAGACAGATTTACTATCTTTCAAGCAATTCCTTTTTCTCTTCTTGAGTAAGGACATTGTGTTGAGGAACCAGCTGGTGTTCCGTTATATTAACCATGAGTTCGTTTTCAAAAAAACACTCTAAAGTGTACTTGCAAGAAAGTTCAGCAATAGCCTACGAAAGTAAAGAATTTAAGAATATGAAAAACAAACTGTTTTTGCGGAAGGTGTGAGGCCTCTCTCCTGAAGGACCAAAATAGCTCGATAAGTACTGTCTTGCTGCATTTGATTTAAGTACGCTCGAACAGTCTTCATATTAACCTTTTCTTCTTCGGGAAAGAATACATACAGCATATCAGCAGGATCTTCTTCATGATTAACAACCATGAGGAGATCTTTTCTAGTTGGAGGGTCACCAACCGTTGCTTTAAAGTCTTCAAGTGTCTGCTCTAATTCTTTCGGCATCACAAGGTAACCCCTGTCTTTGCACATCTACATTCAAAATTGGTTAAGGTTGTTGACCAGGCAACTTACCTTAAGAATGGTTTTACGGATACGCCACAATTTGTAAGTTTCTGAATCGTCCAACATTGCAAATAGCGTTCACAACTACAATAAGAGAAAAGAACACATATTTGCTTATGCGGATATGGCAATTCACACAGAGAACATTTATTAGTAGTTGAATGCTCGTATAAAACCCAAGAGTTTACACCAAATATGTTTGTTTCAAAACCTTCTGTAATACTTCCGTTACATGAAACATCCTTAGTGTGTCCAGTCAGTGTATTGTAATATCTGAATATATTTTTTTGCGATGCTGATGAGGAATGAACCGAAAACCCTATGGTGAAATTAGGAGAAAACTCGCTAACATCAAAGAAACCAAGTGTTAAAGACTAAAAAACGTTACCACATGTGACAAGTCTGTGGTAAATGAAATATTGTAATTACCAATAAACCTATATAAAGGTTAGCAGAAAATGAAAGATATTGTCGCACTTACTGACGAACTAGACTAACAAACTTCGAAATCCGGTAGTAAATTAGGCTGCTGACCAAATCTGCTTTATTGAAACTGTATCCAACTTTAGAAGGCATATAATTCATCTAATATGGAAGTAAATATCTTCAAATTTTGGTATCACTTTGCAAAGTCACGAGTTTTTTTATATCATATACTGTCTGTCAATTAGTGCAAACAAGACTATTTGCATGTGCATCTGCTCATATAAAATTTTTTCTCATAGTTTGTCATTGTTTGTTTCACTTGCAGGTCACTGCTCGAAGCCCCGGTTTGCTAAACAGTCTCACAATATTCACTAGTGCAACCATTCCCATACATCTGCAGCATTCACAACTTAAGGTGAAACATGAAACACCTACAAAGGTCCAACTATTAGTGTGCTTAGGAATTGTTTCCAATAACAGACTCCAGGAATCTATATCTAGTTTAGCTGGTGTGACTAAGTAGAAGAGTTGAAGCAGAAACACCCGATGATACCTCCAGCTACTATAAATCTGTTTTCCGTTAGTCCTTAAGCTTTAGTTGGAGTAAGAAACAGTGGAGTGAATAAGAAATACTTACATTTTCTTTGCTGATTGCGGTCCGAATGGAACTAAAGATAATTTTTTAACCGAATATGCTCAGCAGATATCGTAGAAATAACTAGCTTTAAGGCCATAGGGCAGACATTTGGCCTTAAACGATAGTCTTTAGGTGGTAAGTGAGAACCAGCCGGTCACAAATTAAGTAGTAATGACCCTTTCAACAGCTATAAGCACCAGAAGTAATTTCTAGTTAACGACAACTTCTATCAAAGATAACGTAGTCAACCTGTCTGGGACTGTTCAAACCCACAGATCAAATATATATGTTTGTCTGGATTCAACATAGAACTTGGCACTGAAGTGCAGCAGTTCGAGTTGTCACGTTCCATATAGCACACAAGGAGATAAGTGAAGAGAATCAATAGAGTTTTGACAAGTATAAGAGTGAAACAGAATGAGTAATGGTAGAAAGGAATATGAAAGACTACAGAGACTGAATACATCTGCGCCGTTGACAACGATTTTGAGCCATGTCACCCATTGTGTCAATCTGAGAAGGATGTCGGTGGCACCTATGGAGCTCCGTGCCAGCGAACCGACAACGGTGACCGTCTCCTACAGTTCTGCTCTGATAATCATTTGTTTCTTGTAAGCACTAACTTCAAACACAAGGAGAGACACTGTTTGACTTGGAGACCCCCTTCATCAAACCAACGCTGGACACAAATAGACCACATAGCAATAAGCTATCGTTGGCGTGGGTCGGTAGGAGATTGTCGCTCCTTCTGGAACACGTGCGTAGATACCGACCATGCACTGGTCCGCGCTCGGGTGTGCTTACGACTGAACGGACGTAGGAAACAGCTGGCGGTAAAACCATCACGTCCCCAGCTCGATCAGGAAACTAAATCCGTATTTGAGGAAGAACTAGCTAAACACATATCTGTGTTCGACAGCTGTGCTCACCCTGAAGAAGCTTGGAAAAATATCCAGGCAGCCATAGATACAGCTGTAAAAGCTGTGAATAAGGTAAACCCAAAGGTGAGTAAAAACCACTGGATCTCCACCGCCTCATCCGAACTGATAGATGCTAGAAGACTTATTCCGGCGAGCTCCGAATTCAATGAGGAGCGAAAGCTGCACAAGAGGAAACTTACGAAAAGTCTCCGCAAGGACCGTGAACAGTGGTGGGCGACAAAAGCCAAAGAGATGGAGAAAGCTTCGAGGATAGGCAACACCAGGCAACTCTTTGGACTCATCAGGGAAACGGGTGGGAGAAGACAAATCATTAGTGAGACAATCTCGGAAAAAAATGGCACTATAATTAGCTCCCAGGATAGACGACTGGATCGTTGGAAAGAGCATTATGAGGAGCAGTTTAATTTGCCCACAGCCACGCTCAACCTTCCGAGCATCCAACACCTCCCTGAATGGGATATAAACACAGGTCCTCCGTCACTAACTGAGGTTACTAAAGCTGTCACCAATCTGAAACTAGGCAAAGCAGCGGGACCTGATGGAATGACTCCAGAGGTATTTAAGTACGGTGGAGACAGCTTACTGTCCGGATTAACTGAGGTACTAGGCAGCGTCTGGGAATCAGAAGAAGTCCCATCGGGTTGGTGTAAGTCACTGATTATCCCCATATACAAGAAGGGAGACAAGTCTTCCTGTGATAATCACAGAGGGATTAGCTTGACTAATATAGTATCTAAAGTCTTAGGCTCAATAATCATGCGTAGACTGAGTGGTGCTCGGGAAGCACAAACACGAGAGAGCCAGGCAGGCTTTAGACCAGGAAGAGGGTGTATTGATCATATCTTCACCCTCCGACAGATTCTAGAACATAGGCATTCCTACCGGCGTCCAACAGTCATTATATTTCTTGACCTAAAGGCAGCATTCGACTCTGTCGATCGGGAAGTTCTCTGGAGATGCTTGGCTGTAAAGGGAATTCCAAGAAAATATATTGCACTGATTAAGGCACTCTACTCGTACTCATACAGCCAGGTGAGGGCTTACGGCGAGCTGTCATCTGAACTGATGACGACCAGTGGTGTCCGTCAAGGATGCCCATTATCTCCTTTTCTATTCAACTTCATCATAGATGTGTTAATGGACTTAACCCTAGGTGACTTCAGCGACTCAGGGATTGACTTGCTACCGGGGAATAATCTCGTTGACTTGGAATATGCAGACGATATAGTCCTTCTAGGCGAAGACGCTGACGAAATGCAGAGTCTTCTAAACACCTTGAGCCGCAATCTACGAATGTTTGGCATGCGATTCGCTCCCGCCAAATGCAAGATGATGTTACAGGACTGGACTACATCGACGCCTAGTTTAAAAATAGGAAGTGAAGTGGTAGAGCACGTTGACCGCTTCACTTATTTGGGAAGTACCATCAGCCCCAACGGGCTGATCTCTGACGAAATCTCAGCACGAATACAAGGGGCTCGTTTCGCATTTGTTAGTTTACGCCGACTCTGGCGTAGACGAGATGTTCGACTATCGACCAAAGGGCGGGTGTACTGCTCATCAGTCCGCTCCGTCCTCCTTTATGGTTGTGAGACCTGGCCACTGAGAGTGGAAGACATGAAAAGACTAGCTGTCTTTGATCATAGGTGCCTGCGTTCTATTTCCCGTGTAAAGTGGCATAATAAGGTGAGCAACATGGAGGTTAGGCGTAGAGTTCTAGGTAAACAGGGGAAATCAATCGACGAAGTCGTGAAGCTACAAAGACTGAGATGGTTAGGACATGTGTTACGTATGCCAAGCCATCGCCTCCCTCGACGAGCTATGTTAGCGGATATAGGGTCAGGCTGGAAAAAAGCTAGCGGCGGTCAAACAAAAACTTGGCATCAGTCAATGAAATCCACAACAGTTGGTCTAAGCCACGTAGAAAGGTGTAGACTTCCAGGCTGGGGTCCTCGGGACGGTAAAAATCTATGGTTGGAAACAATTGGTGACATGGCTCAAAACCGTTCTCAGTGGCGCAGATGCATCCACTCCCTGTGACTTATGATCTTCAATGAAACTGTTTTGTATTTCTTTATTACTCCTTTGTCTCACACCTCTGCTCACTGTTTCTATTATGCTTTTCTTGTACTTTCTTCTCTTGCTTCGCGTGCTACACGGAATGTGGCGACTTGAACTTCCGCACATTTGTGCAAAGTTCTATGTCGAAAACAGACAGACAGACAGACAGATTGTCTCCAGCCAATTACCGAGGGCCCCAACCCGGAAGTCTGCATCTTCCTACCTGACTCAGTTTAACTGTCAAGGATTTCATGGATTGATGCCATGTCTTTTTGGCCACCACTTACTCTTTCCCAGCCTGCAAATATATATATATATATATATATATATATATATATATATAACCGAATTCAACTACTGAGTTGATGCATACGTGACTTCCTGGATTACCTTTTAAAATTTGACTATACTTAAATGTGAAATAAAACCAAATGAAAAACGTTCTTCAACGTCAGTTGAGGTACTTAAACTGACGTCCACCAGAATCGGAAGACAGACTACTGAACCTCCAGAAAAATAAATGGACACCAACGACATTTGCCGAAAAGCTATGGATACCAGCAAAACCATCTGCTGCTTTGAATAAAATTCTGTCAATAGACACTAGGTTTCTGTGAGATTTCCAGTGTATTGAAGCCTGACAACCCATTTAAACAGAATGTGGATAGAGTTGGATTACACATATTATGAATACAAAGAATTATACAGGCTAATGTTCACTTCAGGCAAATACGCTAATTTGCCCCAAACAGAGCCACCGGGGTCAAGATGAGTGTTGAAAGAGCGATAATATGTGACAAGGGTTGCACATCCTAGAAGATCCTTCAGTGATACCTGGGAATAAGGGTGGAATTGTGAGAAACGTGGCTGGGTTACTTCATCACGGTGTTTTCTAATGCTGGTCTACCCAACAAAAATGAATTTTAAGGAAAATCTTTACGTAGGCAGAGACCACAGTTATAGTGATTTGGACATCTTACCTCAAATCATGTAGTGGGAGAGAAACAGTTGTCACATAAGTAAGTACTCTGTCTGAAGTTATAACGTAGAATGGGCTTCATTACTTTTGGAAATATCATCTTAGTGGATGTAAATAAAGCACCACAGTTTCGTTGACTTCTGCACCTACACTCAAAATAAGTGAGTAGCAGACAAATGTTTCGGTTGTTTACAGATATCTATAATGATATGCGAAAAATGAATCACTATCAGTCACATCAAGATGTTTTTATGACATCCAAAACCCGTGAATTTACAACTCATTTTTCCTTTAGTTCAATGAATTTTTATCGACAAACTTTGCAAGGAAATAATCAAACGTAGAATTAGCATATTCGAAAAAAAGCACGTTTCATATTTATGCATGGGGAAAATCTTACTGTTTCCCCATTTTGCCCCCATTTTTACTCAATGCAATGTCCCCATTTTGAACACGATTTTCCCCATTTTTGTCGAATCGGGCCTGTCCATGTACCATGAAAAGATTTTTAAAACACAAATAGGTCTGGAAAAATATTATTTAATACGCCTGATTGGTCATCCTATATGAAGCTAGAGAGATTATTTCTTACATTTTTACAGTTATTAGTTTGTTACAAATTTTGCCTAAACTTTATGAATTTTATAGGCTAATCAAAAAAGTGGTCGTGTGAAAATTAAAACTGAGTTGAAGCAGAAATATTTAAGATAGACGATTTGAAGTTCCTGTGCCATTGTTCAAGAGAAATTTAAAGTCAGTCGTTACTAGGTCATGGCAAACGCTACTCACACAACCAACCTTGATATGTTTGAACAATTTTTAAATTACCGCCCCACAAATACACTATCCAATGCCAT